GATACTCAAAGCTGAGCTAAGCAGTGAAGTCCACTCGCAGGGTCTTCCCCAGGCTTTGGGTGAAGCCCAGGGACCGGTTGAAAGAACCCCCCTTGCCCTGGCCTGTTTGGCTCAGCGGTTGGCTCATCGGCCTGTAGACCAGAGAATCCCGGGTTCGGTTTCCGCTAGGGGCACATACAAAAAAAAAAAAAAAAAAAGTAAGAACCTCCCGACGCTCTTCTGGCCTCAAGGGGATGCTATTAATAAGCACATTAGCCACTGTCCACTGTCTTAAAATGACAGGCTTCTGCCTTTATTCAGAAAAGCAAGGCTCCAAGGGCCTTTGATGTACATTTCTCTTTGACTTTAGAGTTATCTTTTTATTCTCTTCTTGGTTACGAATATATTTACTCTAAAGCTTACTTCAGCTCTTGCATAAAAAGCTCCCTGATGTAGGCATAGAAAGAGGTGTAGAATGTGTAGATTACCCGATTGTCTTCTATGCCACAGAGTGGGGACTTCAGGTTTATTTGTGGACAGTCAGACCTCAGGATACTGAGGATGTAACTAGAAGTAGCTAGTCTGACCGTGGCCAGGAGACTCCAGTGACAGCAACTCACCTGGATGAAGCACGTACCTCAAGTCAGTCCCAGATCCAGGCCTAACTATGTACTTACTCCTTTGTTTCTCTTAGCAGCCCTCAAAAGTAAAAACTAATATTATGCCCATCATACAGATGGAAAGACCAAGGCACAGAGAGGTTTGGTAACTTGCCCAAATTCACACCGCTACTAAGATGTTTCTTGCTTTATTTTATTAACTGCAATGCCTTCATTTAGACTGGCAATGAAATCTGTTATTAACCAAGTAGGAGAGAGGACAGGGAGCCTGAAGGTAAAAGACCAATCAGGAAACTGTTCACAGAATAAGTGAAAAGGTAAAGACCTGGGCCAAGACAGCACAGTGGAGATGGTGGGATGGGAGTGGACAGAAAGAAGCAATCAGAGAGCTGTCACAGAGAGAACATCCACAAGGCATGGTGGAATTTGGGTGTGAGGAGGTGGGAGAGGGTGGTCCAGCTTGGATGGATGGTGGTGCCATGAACCAAGGCAGGGTGTACAAGAGGGGGAGCAGGCTTGGAGAAAGGAAGTTCTATTTCTGATGTTTGGTTTTCAATACCTGTGCTATGTCTACATTACAACTGAGACTTGGTAGGTAATGGATAACCAGATCCAGCATTAAAGAGTAGACAAAGCTGAAGATAGAATTTGTGAGGCATCAGCCGAAAGGGGGAAGTTTGACCCATGAGACTAGATGAGAGTCCTCAGGGTGAACTCCCAGCTGGGGGAGGGGACTAGAAGAGGAGCTTGGGGAGCACCGCTGTGCTATCAGAGAGGTCGGGAGGAGCAGACAGAGGCTGAGGGCACACAAGCTCAGGGACAGTGTGCAGAAGGGAGGGCCCCAAATCAGATCTCAGAAGAATCAAGCAAAAGAGGCACAAAGGTGGCCGAGGCACTTGGCACTTGGGATGCGATGGGTGGTCTTAGCAAGAGTAGGCTTGGGGGTGTTGGGGCCACCGAACACTGCTAGCGAAGCCAGACCATGTCATGCTGAAAAGGACGCAGTCTAGCTCAAGGGAAAGGGGGAGAAGAGTTGGAAAACCACAGAAGAGAGGATGGGGAGATACATGGCAATAAAGTTCCAGTTATTGGATTCTTATACTCTGCATTACATTCTTTTCCATCTTTCTACAGAGGCTCCCAAATGGTCATCTTAATGACTTTGCCGTGATCACAAATAATATTTAATGAATACTTTCTATGAGACACGTACCTGTCTAATTGTAAGCCTTATACCAAGTCTATAGGACAAGTCTTTATCTTCATTTTAAAGATGGGAAAAATGAGCATCAGGGAGATGGAACAACGTGTCCAAGGCTGCAGTGCTTGTGAGGGGTACAGCCAGAATATAAACTCAGACAGTCTGAATTCGGTCACTTTGTGCTTAAATATCACACTATGATCTGTTGACACGAAGGAAAACATAATGCACGACCCATTTTCTTGGTGGTGCCCATCTCGGTAGCTTCTGCTCTTCTGCTCTGCGGACAGCTTGAAATTTGTGCTGAGTTAATTACTGTGCTTCACCAGCCATATTTTCTTTCGGCCTCATCGTATTGCCCTTCATTTGTCAAGAAGTTGAGTGACTAGCACCCAGAATGCTGTGGGTGGGCTGATTTGCAAAACCAAATGCTGTTAGTCCCCCAAAAAAGGGAAAGAAAAAGAGAAAGGGGCATTCTTCCAGGAAATGCACCTGGTTAATATGCTGAAATATAAATGCTTATCCCCAAGAACCTTAAAGGAAAACATGTTAACTGATGATTGAAACGGGTTGAATGCAGACAACCGTGCTGAACACAGCATTCTAAAGTCATTTCTAAATATTTTCAGAGGCTTTCATAAATACTTTGCCAAAAGAGATGAGAGACACTACACTTAGCGAGGCAAACTGACACACAAGAACTCGAGCAACAGTTGGTACAGGTTCAAGAGCATATTTTTGGTATCTGAATATAACCCACCAGAAAATAATTTCAGAACATGAAGTATTTGAGATGATATTCTTAAATTAACATTGCCACTGTGAAAGCTTTATGTCAAGGAACTTGAACTCTCTGGACAACTTTTTAGCACTATCCTTCAAAGACTCATCCAGAGCAGTGTTCTCCAACATGCCTGACCGAGACCCAGGTGGGAAATACATTCTGGCCGAGTATTCGCCTATGTACACACGTACACACATACACACACATTTAACTAAAATATATTTTTCACAAAATAATACTTATCCTGCCCTGGCCAGTGTGGCTCAGTTGGTTGGGCGTCATCACATATGCTGAAAGGTCACCAGTTCAATTCCTGGTTAGGGTACATGCCTGGTTTGCAGGCTAGATCCCTGATGAGGGGTGAGCAGGAGACAGCCAATCAAGTTTCATCCTCACATTGATGTCTTTCTCTCTCTCTCTCTCTCTCTCTCTCTCTCTCTCTTTCTCTCCTCCCCCCTCTCCCTCTACCTTCCTCTCTCTCCATGAAAATCAATTTAAAAATCTTAAATAATAATAATAATAAATACTGAACCTCACCGAGTGCAATTAACTCTAATCTTTTCTTTTCTTTTCTATCCTATTTTATTTCTTAAAAATTATGTTCCTAACACACAAAATTGCTTCCTAAGTGCTTAAAGAGTTGCAACCTACAGTTTAGAAACTTTATTCTAAAGGTTCTAAATTCAGGCGCTCCAGCCAGAAGAATTGCAAGAGGAGGAACCTGCCATCGGCATAATATAAATTATATGAGCTTTAGAATTAGACAGACATGGGATCCAATCACACCTCTCCAGTGAGCATGCTGTGTGCCTTTGGGCAGGTTAGCTGATCTCTCTGATCCTCCATTTCCTCTCCAGAAACCTTTGGGACAACTAACTGGGAGAATGAAATGAGAAGCCCACGTTAAAGCACCTGACCCAGCGCTTAGTGACACCAAATGCATTCATTCACCTAACAAATATTTATTGAGCATCCAATGTGTCGTAAGGGCTGGACACACAGCAGTTCACAAAACAATGACACCTCTGCTGTCACGGAGCTGGCATTCTGGCCAAGACAGACGATAGCACACAAACACAGACTCTGCCAGGGAGTGGTGAGGGCTGTATTCGTTTCCCATTGCTGCAGTAACAACTCACCGGAAACTAGCGGTGATTTATTATCTTCCACCACACGTATCTGGTGGCTGACAGTTCTAGAGGTCAGAAACCGGAAATGGGTCTCGCTGAGCTGAAATCGAGGTGCGGCCAGGGCTGCATTCTTTTAGGGGGCTTTCGAGGAAAATTCATCTCCTGGTCTTTTCCAGATTCTAGAGGCAGATCCATGGGCCTCTAACTCCTCCCATCTCCACAGCCAGCAACAGTGGGCTGAGTCCTTGTCGCTTGGCTCCTCTGCCTCTGGGGGCACATCTCCTCCTCTGACTCTGGTAGTCCCACCTCCCTCTGTTAAGGACACATGGAGTTACGCGGAGTCCACTCGGATAACCCAGAATAATCTCCCCATCACGAGACCCTTAATTTAATCACGTCTACCAAGTTCTTTTTGCCATGGAAGGTACCATGTTCCCAGGTTCCGGAGAATAGATGTCATCTTTGAGGGCGGGGGAAGCGCTTTGTCTGCCTACCACGAGAGCAATGACCACATCTGAGGCGAGGCAAGGGGGATTCTGCCCGTTGATGGAGTCACCAGCCACGGGTACTGCTAAGAGCAAGGCTGAATACATAACTTTTGTTTGTTTGTTTGGTGTTTGCAAGGGCAGAATTCAGCGTGCCTAGGGCGCTAGAATGGCCAGAAGCACGAGACCGCCTTCATCACATGCTGGGAAGACACTTTTCTCAGATTCAACCAATCACCTGCAGCTCCAAAGAGGTTGTGATTTGGGGCAATCTGTGACTTTGGGCAATGTGTCCCTCGAGCCTTAGGTTCGTGCGCGCGTCGCAGCTGCCGAGTGAGCCGAGGGCACAGCCCGGTCTGCACGCAGAGGCCGTCCTTTGGTCCTGCTCTCTAGGCCCTTCTGTTCAGTGATTTTCCTGGATCTGCCATCATGGTTTTTATTTGTGAACTCTGAGCACCAAGTGGGGGGAAAAAACTTTAATGAAAGTTAAAAAGATAGACTTGTGTTAGGATGTGCCCAGAAATGTGACCAGGGCAAAAGCCTGAAAGAACTTCTCTGTGTTGTGCAGTGGGAGCTGCACCGAAGTCTCCAGTGGGTCCTGCATGAGCATCGGGCCCTCGGTTAGGTGTGTCTTCTCCTCGTGGCTGACCCTAGGGACCAGAGGGTCACTTACCCTGTCGCAACCACATTGCTGGTGCTGTGTTGTTCATGTGCCCCAACGAGCGTGAAAAGTTCTACACGTCTGTGCTGGCCGCCGGTCTGCTTTCATGTGTAATCTTGGTGCCATTTTTTTTATTTCAGGGAAAACTCGATGCCTTGTGGGTCCTACTAAGGAAAGGATATGATCGCGTGTCCGTGATGCGTCCGCAGCCGGGAGACACGGTAGGATTCAGTAACGGTGTCACACACACAGTCACTCTCTGCCTCCCTCTGTCTTCGCAGAGCTAGGATGACTCCAGGTGAACACGTCCAGCTATTATGTCATGCGGTGACAGATCGGATGCTAGTTTACAAAACTGTTCTTAACAAGACGCTTAGTTTTGACTTGATTTTCTGAAAAGAATTTTAGAAATAGGATGGGTTTTGCTTCCTAGGACCTGAACTTAATTTATAGGTACAGTGAGTGAATAAAGAGGGGCTGGTTCTGGCTTCAGACCATCCCAGGAGAGAGGCCTGCTGCTTCCCACCACACTGGGCAGTGGTGACAAGCAGGATGCCAGGGCCACACGGTGGGGCCAGGGAGCAGGGGCCACAGAAAACTGCCACCTTCCAGCAGCTGTTCGCTGGAATGGTCCAAGATCATCGGAGGACCTTCTCTCCTGGTAAGATTTGCCCCAAAACCGTGTGGGCCAAGCTTGGAACATCTCCAGCTAAGAGGAGTTAGACAGGGAGGAGCCAGCAGAGACCTGAGAAACCTTCTTCCAATGTCTTCATTTTGTAAATGAGGAAACTGAGGAGCTGAATCACTTTTCTGTTCAGATCGCTTCAACACTGGGAACCTCAGTTCTGCCGAAATCACACCGTTGTCACGTCTTCTTGTAAGAGCGAGTCTCTCCTCTATAAATTGAACAGAGCAGAGCTTGGAACCAAATTCTCCCTCAACTCTCAGCCACCTGCATCTTCTGTGTGTTTCTCTCGGAGTCAGACACGTTTACCCAAAAGCAGAATGACGGTGTCTGATTTCGAGCTCCCTTCAGATCAGGTAGCGCTGGGTTTGAATCTCACTTCCTTCCTGGCCGGAGGTTCACTCCAGGCAAGTCCCTTACCCTCTCTGAACGTCATTTTGATCAAGTAGACGATAATAACCACTTCACAGTGTGACTGGTTGGAGAAGGTAATGTTTGTAAAGCACTTGGCCAACGCTGAACACATAGTCATGCTCAGTCAATGGCAGGTATTATGATTATTTACTTTGTGTTTTTCTACTCTGTGGAAGGTTGATGAAAAAATTCAAACCATAATGCAACCAACGTTTATCGAACACGCCCACATCTTTGCCGCACCCACTCTTCAACACCACACAACTAACAAAGTGGGAGAGCAGAGCCTGGTCGGCAGGCCCCTCTCCTCCGCACCTGGGACAATGGATGGTCTGTGGCTGAGGGGATTCACTCTGAAGTGTCCTAGTTTGTGCCAGCTACTGCTCAGTTAGCTGCTCCTGCTCCGGGCAGTGGCAGGGACAGCAGGCAAGTACGACATGAAAGAACTAGGTCGTAGAAATGCTTGGCCACCTTGACCCTCATGGCCTATGGAATTTGTATTTTGTCTATGAAGGTCAACAAAAACACACCGCTTTAGCAAACTTTAAAGTACAAACTCTAGCCCGGCCGGTGTGGCTCAGTGGTTGAGCGTTGACCCATGCACCAAGAGGTCGCCAATTCAATTCCCTGTCACAGTACATGCCCAGGTTGTGGGCCAAATCCCAGTGGGGGGCATGCAGGAGGCAGTTAATCGATGTTCTCTCTCATCAATGTTTCCATCTCTCTCTCCCTCTCCCTTCCTCTCTCTCTAAAATCAATAAAGGAAAAAAATAAATAATAAAAGTACAAACTCTACAACTATGAAAAATGAGCCTGGGCCATAAACGACATGAAAGGTAGTATTTGGCCTTAGAAGCTCTACATCTAGTTTCGGTAGAAAATTAAAAATTTTTTTCGTATGCATGAGGCTCATCTAACAGATTAAGAAAAAAGCAGTAAGCTAGCTGCACACAGGATCAGAAGTACTGATTTTTGTGACTGAGCATGCTGGTACAAGCCCTTTTCAGAGCAACTGAAAAACATCACTCAATCAGCTAACATTTCATTCTCCACAGATCAGTTTGGCCAGAATAAATTTATAAACTGGGTCAAACTGAGAAGTGGGAGGAGTTTGGAAAGATGAGGGATGGAAAGAAATATTATCATATGTAAGATATAAGAACCAACTGGCTGCAAAAGGCTGCTGGAATAAATCCAGCAACAATGCATGAAAACATAGAATTTCCTCTAATGAATCACATCTAAATTGAGTCTCTTTTATTATTATCACTAATTAATTTATTTTTGTTACAGATGTTTCTCCTTTTTCCCCCATTGACTTACTACTTTTGAACAAACGTTTATACTAACATCTGAGGGTGTTCTGTATGCTTTCAAGAAACACAATACCACCATGAATTTTCATTCTCCAACCACGTGAAATAATAGATCTGAAGTCCAGGAAGTCTAAGAATTAGGACACAGTTGACCCGGATCTGTCACAAAATTATTATGGTTGTCCAGCCTACTTTCCAGTGGGCTTTCTTTGTAGAAATCCTGCTAAAATGTTAAGACACATGGGAGAAATAGATGCAGAGAATTGTGTCCATGTAGTCATGACGACAGCCACAAACATCTTGATGTACGTGCAGTTACACAAGAAAGGTCACAGATTAGTTAGGAACAAGAATTCAAAGCTGCCCTGTGGCAACTCAGAAGAGAATTCCAGGGACAGGAGGACTATATTATAGCTTTGTCTATAAGCTTATTCTTTTTTTTTGTTTTTGTTTTTGTTTTTTTTTTTTTGCATTACCTTAAGAGACTCTCAACAAACCTACATTACGTACATGGTGATGACTCTTAAGAATTCCTCAACACTGATTTATGGGGCTGACCACATTTTCCATAAACTCAAAATGACTACAACCAGGCATGTGCTCATGAACAAGAGTCACAGGTTCTGGATTTAAAACAAAAACAAAAACAAAAGTCACCTACTTACATTCTCAGTTGATTTCTAAAATCTTTCAAATGCACAGAGACCTCACAGAAACCTGGCAGTTCTTCCTTCTCGGTTTCTGTCTGCCCCATCCTCCCCCCTGTTAACCCACCCAACCCTACAGATGCACACTCAGTCTCACCAGCAAAGCCTTTGAGGCCGCTGGAAGGGCTGAGCACCTACGGGCCCCACCGCAGAGCAGATGGCTGGGGCAGGCCAGAGCCCAGAGCCACACCCTTCCCTGGGATGGGTGCCCACCTCCTCCGAGCTGTCCAAGCCCCAGGTCAGGGAAAACATGAATGGGACCACAGCGGGAGACCTGGATGCTCTCTGTCTGCCACCACCCCGCTTCCTCTTTCTCCCTGGGGTGGGCTCACAGTCCTGTTTTTCCTTAGAGCCCACCAGGATGTCCTGGGCCAACATAATAGAAAAAGTGCCAGAAGAAACCACTTAAATAGCAAGCCAGCAACACATCTGATCCTAAAATTCAAAGAGTTCCCTAAGCATATGGTATCCTTTGCTTAAACCATCCCGGTGTGGTTCCAGTCTGTAGCCACCGCTGTGCTCTTTCGAAAACACACATCTCAGCGCCCCATTCCAAGGCTTCAGATTTGCAAAGACTACGGGAAAGTGCAGAATCTTTAGCTTGATTTAGAAAGCCCCCCCCCCCACCTTTGCATTTCATCTGCTCCTCACCCCAGGTTCCTTCACTACGCCAAATCAGCCCTGGCCGCCTGGGATTGCTCCGCAATCCCTGAACAAGCCAGAAGCTTTGGTTCTCTGTGCCTTTGCATATTCTGGTTGCTTTGCTGGAAATGTCTTTCCCATCATCTCTACCTAGTAAACTATCACCTTGGCAATATTGTTCATTGTCTCCTGTAAACACAAAGGGTTGCTGTCCAGACCCAAGCTGTATGGGGCATTGCCAACATAGAGTGCATTCGGAGAGTACGCAAAGTATGGAAATTAGAGCATTTTCCAGGATGGTCCCCAAGGCTTCATATACACCTGGGCCACTCTGAATTCAGAAGATTTGCTCACCTTTTAAGAACAAATGGTGGAAGGAATTGAGAATGTTCATCTAAGGAAGACTTAATGGCACCCTCAGCTTTTTAACTTGGCCATTTCTTAATCATCATATTATGCGTTCCATTTTGTATCCCTTTTTTTAATATATAGCACTTAACCATATTCAAGGAGTAATCTTTCCATGCCCCCACATATCCTGGTATAATATCATTTTAATGACCATATCATATTCTATTGTCTCTCTGTGACATAATATTTCTGCCTGTCTTCTCTTTTTGGACATTTATTTCTAAATGTTTATTGTTATAAACGAAGCTTCACTCAGTATCCTTGTTGTCAAATTAATGTGCACATTTGTGTATGTTTCCTTAGAAAAAGTGTCCAAAACAAAACCGCATGCAGAACTTTAAAGCTTGGATACACATTGCACGACTGCCCTCCTGAAACACCGTAGGGGCCATGGGCATCTATCAGAAGCCCATCTCCCCAGATGCTCACCAATATTATTAAGTCTAGCTATTTGATAGGTGCTTGTTTAATTGGCATTTTTATCATTAAGGTGGAACAATTTTTTAAATGTTTATTTTCTCTTTTGTCAATTGCATATACATGCCATTGGCTCGTTCTTTTATTAGATGTTTTAGAATTGATTTTTATCTATTCATTCGCTTAACCCATCCTTATGCATTTGTTAATCAAATGTTTTGAGGACCTACTATGTGTCAGACCTTGTGCTATGCATTAAGTACATGGTGCTTTTCTTATAAACTTAAAGTCTAACATATAGAGAGCCCCAGTTTGTCATTTACCTTTAAACTTTCAAAAAACATATTGAAGTTAATCTATAATTTCATAGTCAAATCTATTGACACAATTGGGGAATAACTAGCCTACGTAAATCTAAATATTAAGCTCCAACCCGCTGCAGAGACATCTTTCCCCACCTGCAGACAGTTCTGTTCCTGGACTACTGATTTCAGATGCAGAAATACGGGGAACTTCACAGCCCATGGAACCAGTGATTCTCAACCTGGGCACAGTGTGGTCACCTGGGGACTTTAAAGCACTGACGCTAGGGCCCCGCCCCTGAGGTTCTGTTTAATTTGTCTGGGATG